AGGCCCAGCCTGGCAGAGGGCTCCTCGGCTGCAGGAGCTGTTCTCCCGCCTTCGCCCCGCTGTGGCCTAGGCACGGCCCGCCTGCACATTTTGCTTTGTGTTCGTTCCCCATACAGACGGTAGGGTCTGTCTGTCTGTCTGTCTTCCTTCCAAAACTGAGTCTGGTCCTTTCTCAGCAGCTTTCCTTAATCTCCTTGGATTAAAAAGGAACCAACACTAATATTTATTTCTGGTTTAATACAGTCTATTTTATCCATTTTTAAAGAGAGATTATTTTGTAGAAATGGCATGTAAATCCACAAAATAAACAAAGTCACCTTCCTTTGGACTCTAGACAAACAGCCTGAAAATAATCCTGAGAAGATTGTGTTTGCAAAGCCAAGAAACTCTGAGAAAAAAATTCAACAAATGATTCACAACCCCTGTCCCTTTAGTTCCTTCTGTTCATGCACGTGAATTTATGACTTTACTTCCCAGGTCAAAGTTAAATGAATTCATCAGTGGAGCCTATAATTAGTATGAGTGGTTAATTCTAAGGGCTTCACTGCACATTCTCGGTGACATTTTGTAGCACTAAGGGTGGCCATTATGAGGAAGTGTGCTCACCAATGACTGAGTATTGAAATTAGCAATAAAATGCTTGTCTCTCCATTTCACATGCAATTTGGCCTGAGAGGAATAAGACAGATAGACTTTCTGTCATAAGGCAGCCACTGAAAATTCTTTCACAACACAGGAGTATCTGGACCTGATGGAATATCCACACTTTACTGCTCTTTCAGGAAATCCAATGCATGAATTACCCCCAAATAAAGCAATTAAGAATGCATTGTTCATGTAATAAGGATTTTCATTATAAAAATATCCCAAGAGCAAATTATTTATTTCCAAATTTAAAAAACAAAAAACACTCTGATTTGTATCCAGTTATTAAAAATCATGATTTTGTACAAAGAAGGATCCACCTAGATTTTCATGAGGTCATATGATCAAAATATAAATATACCATGAATACATATTCCTTTAATTGTCACTTAATTGTGTACAGGGATAAACATTTTATTTTTTGAGAGTTGAATACTTAGCAAACACAAAAAATGAAATGCATCATTTTTTAAAGGTTTTTTTAAAGAAGAAATCCAAAATATTCTCTGATCCAACCCTAAATGCCATCAAAAACTTGAGCCAATAATTGGATCGATGTCCAAAGGTGGATAATGTTTTCTGTACATAAAATATGAGATTTAGCAAAGAATTATTTCATCCATTTATTCACTCATCCATCACACATTGTCGAGCATCATGAATAACTACGTTAGGTGCTAAGAATACAACTTTGCCTTGAGAAGAACTCTTGTGATCAGAATTTTGAAATGTTTGGTCAAAGGCTAAGCTAGAGAGATCTCTCTGGCAGCAGGATGATGGATGGACTACAAAGCAGAAGCGGGAATGTTGATTGGAAGACAGTATCAATAACCCATGAAATAAATAGTGAAGACTTTAATTGAAGTAATGTCAGTGGGTTTAGAGAAAAATGGGTGGGCTCAGGAGGTAATAAGAATCTGGAATTCACAAGGCTTAAGGTTGTATTTTGGAAGTGAAGGAAGATGATATTCTGAGTTAAGGACGCTGGAGCTAAGGATGGGCTGGGCAGCCGAGAGGAGAGAGACGGCAGGTGAGGGGGGGGAGGCGTGGCCACGTCAGCTCAGACACGCTGGTTAGAGATCTGGGGGCAGGAGGGACCAAGGGCCTCAGTCTGATGCAGGGAGCGGCTTCATCTCGCCTTTGACAAAACCCAGAGGGGTGGCTTCCCTCACCCACGGCCTGCAGATGACCACGAATCGAGTGAAGAACATTCTAGTCCTGAATTCCATCCATGCCTCTTCACCAGAACAGACGTCTCCAACCAGAGCCCTCGACCCGTGTACGACACACCGACCTGGTATCTTAAAACCACACGGTATTTTTTCAATGGACCCAACATTTTTAATAAAAACTGGTCACTCAACAAAAGGAAATGTCTCCATGTTTTGAAAAAGTAGAACCCCTGGCACTGTGCTTTCCTCTGACGCCAATCAGCTGGAACCAGGCAGCTCACCTGGAGGGCTGGCCCCTTCCCCAGAAGACCCCCCCCAGAGCGCCACGCCTGCCCCATCCCCTCCTCCCTGGTCTGCACAGCTGCTCACGTGCCCACCAATGGCCGCCTTCTCCTCTCAGCCCTGTGTGTTCCTGGTGTGGACAGAATGCACAGTCCAAGATGATTGTTCTGGGGATCCGTACATTGATGACTTTCCAAAATAGAGTGATTTTAAAGGAATTTTTTAATTAATTGCATCCATTTTTAAAAGAATGAGAAAATTGAGTAAAATTGCACTATACTGTGAATGGTGATTGACAGATCAGGGCTGACAATCACGCACTGGTGAGGCACCAGGGGCCCAACCACGTGTGATGGTGAACGTGTCCCCACTTGCTGGGGCTACAGGATGCCCAGGTGTCTGGCTGAGCACTGTTTTGGGGGGTGTCTAGGAGGGTGTTCCTGGAGGAGATTAGCCTCTGAGTCTGCAGACGGAGTAAAGAGGGTCCTCCGTGTGGGCGCCTCGCCCGGCTGGCCGAGGCCGGAACAGAACGAAGTGGAGGGGCAGGCGGAGCTCTCCCCGCTCTCTGACCGCCGGAGCGGAGGCCGTCAGCCTGCTCCAGCCCTCGGTGGGTTCGCGCCACGGGCCTCCAGGCGGTTCTCCTGGGCTCTCCTGCACCTGCACCCCGAAGATTGTGAGACTTCTCGTCCCCATGATTTGCGAGCCAAATCCTTAGAGGAAATCCCATTTCTAGATATATATATATTATATATATATATATATTAGACATACAGGGTGGATAGACAGATAGACATCTTCTTGGTTCTATCTCTGGAGAACCCCGACTAAGGAGCCGCGTGGCACAGGCGAGGCACCCATATGCCACTGCTCCCTGCAAGCTGGGCTGCCCAGGGGGCACGAGATGCTCCCTGTGACCGGGACCCCACCCCTCCAGGCTGCCCTGCTCAGAGCTCCAGCGAGGCACTGGGGCTCTGACTCTCCCGGAGGGAGACCGTGGCCTCCCTGGATTAGTGACCCTGCACCCAGGGAAGCCAGGGACAAGAGGCATGGTCCAGCTGGCCGCCTCCTGCAGCCCCACCCTCACCCACAGGCTGGTCATCTCCCTGAGCAAATCCCAGGGGCAGAAGAGGCCTCACGCCTCACTGGCAGCCCATCCCACAGTCAGACTCCCAAGCTCAGCACATCAGAAGGCTGGAGAGGTGGCCCAAGACAAAGAGCGCCCTTCCGCCGGCACGGATGGACCGTGGATCCCTCCCTGCGCACGCCCTGCGGGGCTGCAGCCCCTGGACCACCCTTCATGTTCCCAGTCTGCTCCTCGCCTGGAATTAAAGTCTGACGCTCACACCTGCTCCCCAGAGTCAGGGAGGGAGAGCTCAGAGAATGGGTTTCGAAATAAGACAAATGTGCTATTAATGAAAAGCCCTACCGCTTCCTAGCTCTGTGATTTAGGGAGAGTTATTGCACCTCTCTGCACCTCAGATTACTTGTCTGAATCATTTAATCTTAATAAAAAGCTGCATGTTACTGACGTCTGGAACGCAGCCAAGACGGCTGAAGCTGCAGCAGCCAAACTGACACCATGAGGTGACAGGCGTGAGGACGAAGGAAGCAGACAGGAGAACCCCGGAGCCAGGAGGACGCGGCCCCGCAGTGCACCAGCTCTCTGCTCTCCGTCTCTGACTTGCAGCTGAACACGGAAACCACCTCATTTCCTTATGCCAGTGTTACGGGGCCTTCCTCGCAGCTGGACACTTTCCTTACTGGCATAGTAAGAGCCATCCTTCAAGACAGTCATGAGACTTAGAAATAATCTGTGTAGACCAATTATGTCATTGACAAGTATTTTATCATAAATTTTAGTATTTTTACTAAAGTTAACAAGTAAAATTCTGGTGGTGGTCATTGATGACCTCCAGTAAGAACAGCAGTTTCGCTACTAGTAAGTCATGGCCCACAGTCAGCATTTGCTGGTGGTATTTCTTCCCAAACAGCTACAAAGTCCCCCAAAACCTGAGTGGATACACTTACCGGGGGCAACCTGCACCCCGAGAAATGATGGGAGTAGAATGGAAAAGTTAATGATCTTACCAAATTATCTAAGAAACCATATGGGACACTTAGGTACAGGTCTCAGAGGAAACATGTATGTATCACATAGTAATCATACAGTACAGTTCTATATTCATAAATTAAATATAAAATTAAGCTTATCAGCTAATAGGCATATCTTGTCTCTGAAATGCAATAAAAAGAAGTAAATCCAGGAAAAAAAAGTGCCCTGAAAATGGAGATGAAATTACTTCTGTACAATCCTTTAAAAAACTCATAAAAGACTATAAATTTATGTTGTTATTGTGACATCTGCTAATATATTAAACTCTGGAAAGTCTGCAAATGTCAGAAACCTTAACAAGCTAAAACAATAACGTTATGAATACGAGAACAGGGGCGAGGAGGGGATTCGGCGAGGCCTGTGAGAGGACCCGTTCTCCCATCTTTCATAGTCAGAAGTCAGTAACGTCTAAAATTAAAACACAGACTTAAAAATGTAATAACTCCAATCATTTCCTGAATGTTTCACAATATTTTTCTTAGCCTTAGAACAGTATTTTAGGGTATTAAGGAATGTTTTTGGCTCTCACTTCTGTTCTCATCTATGTTACTTGATTGTTTTCATAAAGTGCATAATTTATATAAGAACAGTAAAGTCATTAACATTTTTAAATGGGAAATTAATGATCCTGCCTCAGTGTGGGTTCCCCAGAGGAGCGGAGCCGGTAGGAGGTGCGCGCAGCACGAGAGGTCTGGGCTCTATGACGTCAGGCTGGTGACGCAGGAGAGCCGATGGCGCGCCTCACCCCGGCAGGCAGAGGGCGGGTCCTCCCCGCCTCCTCCCCTGCTGCTGAGGCCCCAGCGGATGGGACGGGGCCGCGCGCTCCGGAGGGCCGCCCGCTTTGCTGCGTCCGCGACTCCAGCGCTGACCTCACCCGGAGCCGCCGTCCCGGGCACACGCCCACGTGGTCCCGGGGCCGCTCCCGACGCCGACCCCTGGGCGCGCGCCCAGCCCCGGGCAGGGGACACACTCCGCCCCGCACTCAGCCCACCCCAGCAGCGGGAGGCCCCTCGGGGGCAGCCCCCGGCCCCGCGGGGGACGCGAAGCCCTCCGCTCACTTTCGGAACCAGAAGCGTCGCATCACGGTCCTCCCGAGGGTGCCTTCCTGGGTGCTGCCCGGGCGTCTGCCTTCAGAGCTGCCGGGACCCCCTGACTCTGCGGCGCGGCCGGGCTGCCCGCCGGAGCAGAGGTGAGTCCACGCGCTTCCTCTGCAGACCCCTGAGTGCTCCCCTGCCTGCACCACCATCGCCAAAACTGACCGGCTGCCGACCTCGGCACTGGGGCACCGATGACCTGCCCTCACCCGCCCCGTGTCCCGCTCCTCTCGGGCCCTGCGCACGGGCCGCGCGGCTGCTGCCCAGGGTGCCACGCGGGCCTGTTCGGCCCCAGTTCTTCCATCATTAACGTCATCCTCCCGCAGAGAGACCAACTCAACGGCCGCTCCCCTCGGGATCCCCGGCTTTCCCGATCAGATGACCTCCCCCGCCGTCGGACCTCTTACCTGGACACCCTCATGCCTTGGGCACCGGGCAGGGTCCAGTTTGTTTTGTTGTCCCCAGCATCTCCACAGTTCCTGAACTTGCTAGGTAATCCTATCTTGATTTGCTGAATTCACTTCTCATGGGAATTTTATTCTGGTATATTAGCATCTATATAAAATATCTAACGTCTGAGCTCTCATTTTGATCACCTGATCTTAGACATAGCATTTACCAGTTTATTTTTAAGGTAAATACAATACCTGTCAATACAATTCATAAGTATGAGAAAAAAAATCAATTGGATTTAGCATAACAACCTTCAGCTCCTCAAAATCCCTTAATAAAGCAATATCTGTAAAATCCAAGGATAATGTGCAATTCATTTTTACTCTAACAAAAGCACGAAGGGCCTGGTTTGGGGATGTGGGCAAGGTTGTGATGAGCATCTGGGCATCTGCTTTGTGCACAGCCCTCAGACTACAGACACAGAACAAAAATCTCCTGCCCTGTGAAGAGGACGCGCCTCTGCAGGAGGCTCTGGAGATGCGTCCTCTTCGACCCTCTCCCCCCTCAGTGCTGAGCGGGAGGGGCGGTAATTACAGCCGCATCAGTCACAGGGACCTCAAGCTGCAGCACAACCTTCTCTGGCTGGAGTTAATTAGAACACTGACATTTCCCAGACTGTCAGCTAAATGAACAGTTAGGAAGCTGTGCATATACATCCAATGGGTAAGTACAGGCTGTCAGCCTCCTCCATAAAATACACCCGGCCCTTTCTGGTCTGTCACTGAGTCCTACCACTAAGTGACTCAAAGCAAAGCCCACAGGCCCCAAGAAGGGCCCAGCCCTCACTTTAGGATGCGGTCCACGGGCCGCCTCACCCGTGTAACGCTCAGCCGTGCTTTGGGACAGCCATAATCCTGACAATCCAATGAAAATGTACTCTAATTTTCATTAACATGCACACTCTAAACACAACGACCATAGGGCACTAACTGCCAAGTTGCTAGATTAATATTCTTTCCTTTCTTTTAGAATCTCATCACTGGAAGTTACTGAGCTGTTTGACATCCTGCTAGCTGCACCGTGAGGAGCGCGCAAAGAGCTTACATACGGAGACACGAACGCGGAGTTTAAGAATTCTAGCCCACATTTCCATACTAGCTTCTTTTCCTACCTCCACACTTCCCTTAATTTTCAGCCTCTCACAGCAAAACAGTTGAAAGAGAATTTTTCATGACAAATGAGAACTAGTTAATAAAAGAAAGAAATGCTTTCTGCTATAGAAGAAAAAATTAAACCTATTTAAGTTCACAAAGTCACTAGCAGGGCCCAGATAACTCCACGTGTTTTGCTATAAATAAGAACTGATCGCTGGGACTCATAACTGCAACTTTAACACCCAGTGTTTGCCAGCAAATGGTCCATGTGGCCTGAGTCACGACCCACAGGCCCTGAGCAGGCGCCCACGGTGCACACATGGAGCGTGGGGCCAGGTCACCATGCCCGCCTCATGCCGTGCAGGGAACCGGCAGTTCCCATGGCCAGGATCCTCCCAGACCCGACTCTGCTTGGTGATCTAACTGGCCCTCCGCCGGGCCACTGCTCCCACACCCATAAGGCGATGGGCCATTCCTGTCAGTGTCACTGTACAAAGAACTCCGTCCAGCACGCCGCCAGAGGCAGAGACGGAGAAGCGCTTGCTCATGCAGACCACCCAGGAGCAGACGTGATTCCAGCGCCCCACCTGCCACCGTGAGAATAAAGCTTGGTATAAACCCCTTTACCCTCAACGTTCTATTGTCCTCATTCGGTCTCAGGGATCCAGTGAACTTGCCTGAGGACAGTCCCCCCAGACGAAGCCATCTGGCCGCAGGCACAAGGGAGGTGGTGTGGGAGGCGGAGCACAGGCCCAGATCTGAGTGGGATTCATGCAGGATGGGGACGTGGTCAGGCGGGAGGATGGGAAAAACCAAATGGGTTTCAGAAGTGCTGCATTAAAGTTCCATGGGGACTTCACTGTGGAACTTCCCAAAGCGTCCCATCCTTATAAATGCTGGGGATGTGTACCATGCAGTGCTCCCGAACCTACTCGACTTTGGGATCCTTTGTTGTGGGGTATCTCTGGGTACAAGTATGCCCTGGGAGCATGTTAGGAAACAGGGCCCCCTGCCCACCGGCTATGTCAGGGTGTGCCCACCTTGAAGCCTTCACCATATCTTCAGATTCTACAACTCCTTACCCACTGTTCTGTAAGCTTCTGAGACCACATCTTACACTCTGATGGCTCTCACAACACCCTGCTGAGCCTTGCAGCCCACGTGATCAGTAAAAAGACCTCCTGTGCTCAAGCCGAAGGCAGCGAGGCATCCCCATCCACGTGCAGGCATGTGAAACGCCCAGGTGCCATCAGAGCCACCTGCACCTCTGCTTCTCAGCAGCTCCAGCAACGGCTGCTGGTGGTGGCCCTGCGATGTCACCCGCTTTGATTTGCTCCAGTTCTTAGCCCTCATCTTATTTCTCTTGGGGGCCAGCTAGTTTCTCCTGACTTGATCTGGGAGCCAGTCCTAGTGCATTTGTATCAGATTAAGGTAGGATTTACTTTTCTGTCAGAGATAAAAGCTCAAGCCTCCAAACCTCACACCTGCAGGTGTTCTGTCCTCAATTTCCCATAAGCTCTTTCAGCTGAAACCCATCATTCAACAACCTCTGTGCAAAAAGAAGTCTTTGGGACTTCAGTTAGATTTAAAGGACTGAGAATTCGTATCTTCTCCCTCCTGTGACCTCTCCTCCAGAAAGTTCAAGGCCAAAGAGGTATAAATCCTGAGAGGCAAATGGGAAAGAGGGATATCAGCAGACAAGCAATTTCAACTGACATTGACAGGCAGGTAGCATGGAGAAGGGTGGTTTAACGGGGAAGCAGCCACAGAATGAAGCATTTGCAGAGGACGCCGGAAGAACAAAGTCCACTCTCCCTACAGACACCTGGCAAAGGCCAAGACTCAAACGGGACACTCCTACACCAAAGCTTAGGTGACAACCAGGGACTTGGCTGGAAACCCAAACCTCCCCACCACACCCCAAAGTAGCAATTTGATATTGACTATTGACTAGGAGCCCAGATGCTCACTTTCTGTAGAATCTGAAGGGGAATAGCCCAAATTGAGTGTAGTGTGTACAAGGTGGGGTGAGGGCTTTGCAGGGCTACACTGGAGAACCGACAGTCTGTAAATAAGATGGCTACATACCCAGAACTTACCCATCTTACCCCCCAGGTAGATGACTACCTGTTCCCTCTGGAAAAATGAATAGGTTCAGGGGAAAAAAAAATCTCTACCTCTTAATATTGAGCATCTCCCAGGGTAATCACCAACCATGAACATTCAGTCTCTCATGATGGGGTAACCCCCGCTCCCCATGATGCTTGTGGGCTGTCCCACTCCTTGTGTCCACCTAGGGCCAGCCAGCTTCGTCTGGGGGGACTTTCCTCAGGCAAGTTCACTCTGGATTCCTGAGACCGAAGAAGGACAATAGAACGTTGAGGGTAAAGGGGTTTATACCAAGCTTTATACACAGAGAGCTCCCAGTACACTACCAGGTAGGTAGGTAGTGGATAGGTAGGTAGACAGATGATGGATGGGTGGGTGGACGGATGGATGGATGGATGGATAACAAGTATATACATATATAGATGGTGGACAGAGATGATGGATGGATGAAGACATGGCACACTAGACTTTAAGATAAGTCTCTAACAAAAAAAAAACAGAAAAAAATGAAAAGCATAAGGATGGAAACACAATGTAGAGGAACAGAAGAAAACCTCAAAAGTATCTTAATGTCTTCAGTGTTATAACTCAGTATTTCATGTGTAAAACAATGTTGGAACACTTAAGATCAGGAAAAGAAACTTAGAAACTTAAAAAGGACAGCAAAACATGAAAACTAAGTGGTTGAAAGCTAAAATTGAGGAAATTGCTCAGAAAGTAGGACAAAAAGCCAAAAAGATGGAATTATGTGAGAACATATTAGAAGCTTAAGCAAGTAATCTAGGAGAGCCTTCCACCCAACCAACCCGAAGATATCTAAAAACACACGGAGAGAAATCATGAGGAAGTTATGGAAAATAAATTGCAGAAAGTTCCCATATTCCAAAAATATAAACCAAAAGAATGGGCCAGATGAATGCCCACACAAGATTAAGAAGAGTCTACAATGAAATTAATCAGCTTAATTGATTAGTAATTGATATCAGAGCATCAGAGATAAAAAAAAAAATCTTCAAAGAATTCCAGAGAAAATGGGACAGGTGGAGTAGGCACCCCTGCTGTATCCAAAAGAATAAGAATCAGAATGAGACAGTATTTCTTAGATTCACAATGAGATCATACTTTTTAAAAGCAAATGCATAATTAAAAATTCTAAAAGAATTCTCCTACCCAAGCTACCAACCCAGGTAGCAAGCTAGACATTTTGAGATGTGGAAGAAGGCAGAGGGCAGCCTGTGACCGGGCATTTGTCCGGGCGCTGCTGGAGAGGATGACCCAGGACATCCAGGGACTGAATCGAGGAGCTCCAGCAAATCTCTGCAGTCAGAGGGCGGCGCACAGAAGCCCAGGATGACATACAACAGCCCCAAAGACAGTCAGCTGGAGAGATCGGAAGGCCTGGGACTGTCGCTGGGGAGAGAAGTAAGGGGTGTCTGTTCAGAAAATCAAACAAGGGGGAAGTGATACAAATGTTCATATCAGGGGGAAAAGTCTCTAACAGAATATAATCATGGTACAGTACTTGGCCCTACAAAGAACCATATTTGTACAGATGAATAATATAGTAAATCATATGATAAAGCATCTGGAAAAAATAAGGATGTTCATTTGAAAAACTGCAAGTAGAAAAAAATGATGCATTAACTGGAGATTTAAAAAAACACATGTAATCATAGTGCACTTCTTAGTTCTACAAAGAACAATATTTATATGGTTTAATGATATAAACACTAATTGCGATTTAACTACAAATAGTGACATAATAATGTTGGAAGGAAAGGAGCTAGGGAGGGGCAGGTAACCAGAGCTGAATTCGTACACGTAAGAACCTACTTGGGGCAACGTAAGAACCCCCCTCAGCACCAGGGGATCCGCGGGACAGGCAGGGGTCGCCTCTTCCGGGAGCAGAGCCCAGGCGGGGTGCTGGGGCCAGTGAGCAAGTCCCACAGCCACGTGTGATTCCCAACCTGGGGACTGAACATTAGATGGTAAGAGAGAGAAGCCCACAGGGGTCAGCGTGCCTCCGGGACCCAGGCCGCCTTCTGCAGAGCCCGTCAAGGCCCCACCTTTGTATGATGCTATTCGATATTCGTGACAGTCCTTGTGAGTTAGATTCTATCCTATTTACAGAAAAGGCAAGTGAGTCCAGAATGCAGGAGTGCCGTGTCCAGGCTTCTGTAACAGAGCCACCTAACCCCCGGCCGGGCCTCGCCACTGCCTGGGGAGGTTGGCACATGTAATCGCTGCACAGGATCCCGAGTCACGGGCTAGGCGTTGTTTAGCTTTTTCAGAAAACAGGTGCTAAGAAAATTTCTTACATTCCTATTGTTAGATTGACTGTATTTCATGCCACTAGGCCTTCACCCATTTCCCAGAAATAGGGTCCTTCAAAATTTGCCCTCTGGAACTTCCCACTTTTGCGAGCCCACGCTCCAAACCACAGCCAGTGGGGAAGGGGAAAGAGTCTGCCCCACACAGGCCCGCTGCCCACCCTCCTGCCCCAGGGGCCCCCCGCCTTCCTTCCTTGTCCTCAGATGTGGCCACCTCTGCCCACAGGCGCGTGCCTACCTCCCCCTTCCTGGGCCTCCACTCATCTCACCAATACTCAAAGGGGTAACACAGCTCAGCACACGTCTCATGCCCCCAAATGCCGTCGTCTCTGTCCAGCACTGACAAATGGACGCCCTTGCTCCAGTACAAAGGTACAATAAATCCCCTCTAGGCACGGCCACCTTGCACTTTGGCCTCTCTGTGCTCAGAAGGCACCATTTCCCATTTGGTAAAAAAAAAAAAAAAGTAAACACAGACGAGCACCGGTGGTCAGCAGGGACTTGGCATCCTCTGTGGGGACACAAGGCCTAACAGAGGCCACAGCAAGCAATCAATGGCAGCCAGGGCCTGTAGCTGCGTTCCGTGGCTCTAGTACACTTGAGTGGCTGCACTGGAAAACGCTCATTCCATGGGGATTAATGAGCAATTTTCTGTCAGAGCCAGGAGCACTCATGAAGGAAAAAATGACAAAAGGAACTCAAGTCCCAAAGGATCTGATTTAACAATTCTTTCTGCATATTGAGAAGGAAACTTGAGAATATCATCACCTGCCAAGAAGAACACTCTGATTTATTTTCTCCCAAAATACGAAAAGCCAATCAAAGACCCACCACAGCAAGCTGGCTGTCCAGGCTCCAGATGACCGGGTCCGGCTAACCACATGGCAAGCGGGACATTCTGCGAGGGGCTGCGTGCAGCTGGCCTCGCTCAGGTGTGTCATACACACAAGAGCCTGCAGCACAGCCAGCTTGGCTTCATTTAAATCAGTCGCGGCCACTTAATATGCACCGTTTGAATATCATTGCCTAAATGACCTGCATAGGTATTCCCTTAAAAAGCATAAAGATTCACGAGAGTCAGTTCTGAGAAATATAATTATGGGCATGAACAATATGTCATACTAAAACCAAAATGAAGTTTCACTCT